CACACACACACACACATACACACACACACAAATGTGTTCTAGCTGGACACGTTGGCACACACCTGTAATCCCAGCAGCAGGGGAGGCTGAGGCAGGAGGATCGTGAGTTCAAATCCAGTCTCAGCAAAAAGTTGCTTAGCAACTCAGTGAGACCCTGTCTCTAAATAAAATGCAAAATAGGGCTGGGGATGTGGCTCAGTGGTCAAGTGCCCCTGAGTTCAATACAAACAAACAAACCAAAAAACAAAAAAACTCTAGGTTTTTAAGGCTCCAATAAAGATTTTATACACTAGTTAGGGTGGTTTAACTGCCAGTTGTTGGGAAACCCATCTCAGTCTGTCTTAAACAGGGAGGCTACAGAAGAAAAATCCAGGGCTTCAGTATTGGCTGCTCCATGGCTGAGCCAGACGTTAGAGATCCAGGTAGTTCTTTTTGCATAGTATCTGTTTGGTGGTAAAACTGCCTCACATCTGCAGAGAGAGGAAGCTTGGCTTCTGTGACTGTCATTAAGAGTAAGCAATAACATACCTGGTCCTTCAGCCAGGCTGAGAGCAGTCACAGACCATTTGAACCCCTTGATGTACATTAGGCCCCCACACTTGAAGGCTGGGAGGCCTAGGGACTAGGGGAGGACAGGCCTGGGTCCTTGGTTAGTGGCAAGTTTGTATGAGTCTTACCACACAGGTAGTATCTCTACTCTACTAGGGCCCCTGCACTGAGCAGGGTGATATCAGAAATGGAGTCAAGGTCTCCGGGTGTTTTGTGTTTAAATTTTGAATGAGTGTTCACTATGTGCCAGGCCTTGTTCTCAGTGTTTTTTTGTAAATTCTTTCATGTAGCACTCAGAGCAGTTCACTGAGCCAAGGTGTGCTATTGTTCCCATTTTGCAGACAGAGAGCTCAGCAGTTAGTGAGGTTAATAGCATACTTAAAGTCACATGAAGGTCAGGTTGCCCAGATCTGGACAACCCCTTTGTAGATTCCACAACCCCTACTGTGCTGTGTTGTCTCCAGACACATGGGATTTACACATTTCTCACTGCCTCAGAGTAACTAGATAATTTCTTTACTTTAAAAGGAAAGTTATGTGTTTTCACATAAAAAGTCATAATTAATATGATCCTGTAGGTAAAGGGTACAGATGGGAATTCTTGTGGGCTTGCTGTGCACATGCATGCCCAC